CTCCTGTGGACAGCTAACCTACCCGCCCCGCCCCCCCAGGAGTAGTACACGTAAGATGAGTCCGCCTTAATTTCTTCTCTGCTTGCCCTTTTCCTCTCCTTCACTGACACGTTCTCCTTTCATCCCCAAAAGTGATTATTCCTCAAATTCAGCCCTTGGTCTTCCTTGTTCTTGTTCTGTTCTGCAAATTGTTCGATCTTCACGTACAGGCATGGTGCAACACACATCGGCCCCAAATTCGCTCCTCAGTTTTACTTCGTGTTTACACTTGAATGTCCCAGTCACCTCAATCCAACAAATGTAAAACGAATCCTAGCACCAGAAACAGCTCTTCCCAGACCGGCTAAAACCTCAGATCGGCTAGGACTTGTATTAAATAGATTTCAAGCAGGACGGACCACAGTTGCAAACACTCGCTTAACAGAAGAATGGGGGATATTATCATGTTTGCATGTGAATATGTTTTCACTTTCACATAAGCGGGATTTGCATAATTTACGCAATATAAATGTGCACATATCTCCAGCAACTTCTGGTATGATCACTGTTTTGGAGCAGAATCCATTATTATAGACATTCTCAAATATATATTACAGCAATAAAATTATATGAACTATTTGACATATAAAATTGGGGGAGGACTACTTCATAGCAACTTGCCCTCTTGTAAATGAGCATCTCTAGTTGATGTTCAAAATAATTGTACAATTCCTGCATTCATTCAAAGCAAGCCCTGATCTAATTGGGTCCAGAAACAGAGCTGTTCTGATTTATTTACTTATTTTTATCATGATATAATTCATATAACATAAAAGTCATCCCTTTGAAGTGTGCAATAGGGGCGCCTGGCTGGCTCAGTCGGTTAAGCGTCTGACTTTGGCTCAGGTCATGATCTCATGATACCCTGCGTCGGGCTCTGTGCTGACAGCTCAGAGCCTGGAGCCTGCTTCGGATTTTGTGTCTCCCTCTCTCTCTGCCCCTCCCCTGCTCACACTCTGTCTCTCAATAATAAATGAGTGTTAAAAAAAATTGTTTTAAAGTGTAACAATAAAGTGATTTTTGGTATATTTACAAAGTTGAGCAATCATCAGCACTAATTCTAAATCATTTTCACTACCCCCAAGAGAAACCCTGTCCCTGATAGTGTATTCCCCCACCCTCTGGCAACACTAATCTGCTGTCTGTCTGGATGGATTTGCCTATTCTGTACATTTCATATAAATGGTATCATGCAATATGTAACCTTTTGTGTCTGACTTACTTCACATAGCGTAATGTTTTCAAGGTTTGTCCATGTTGTAGCATGTGTCAGTTCTCCATTCCTTTTTATGGCCAAATAACATATGGATACACAACCTTTTGTTTCTACAGTGGTCAGTTGATAAACATTGGGGTTATTTTCACTTTGAGATTATTGTGAATTATGCTGCTGTGAACATTCCTGTACAAGTTTTTGTGTGGATGTATGTTTTCAATTCTCTTTGCTATATACCTAGCAGTAGAATGGCTGGATTAAAAAAAAAAAAAAGAATTTCTGGATCATAGGATAACTCTATCTTTAGCTTTCTGCAGAACTGCAAAACTCTTTTTCAAAGAAGCTGTACCACTTTACATTCCCACTAGCAGCATGTAAGGGTTCCAATTTTTCCACATTCTCACCAACATTTGTTCCTGTCTTTTTTATTATAGCCATTCTAGTGTCCAGGAATGGTATTTCATTGTGGTTTTGATTTGCATTCCCCTGATGACTACAGATATTGAGCACCTTTTCATGTGCTTATTGGCCATAGTATATCTTTGGAGAAGTGTCTATTCAAGTCTTTCATCCATTTCTTAATTGGGTTGACTTTTTATTGCTAAGTTGTAAGAATTCTCTACGAATTCTAGAGACAAGTCACTTATCAGCTATATGATTTGTAAATATTTTCTCCCATTCTATGCATTGTCTTTCTACTTTCTTGATGGTGTCCTTTCAGACCGTTTTTTTTTTTTTTTTTTTTTTTTTTTTTTTTTTTATCCTGGAAGGTGTTGGAATTTGTCAAAAGCTTTCTCTGTCTATTGAGATGATCATGTGATTTTTTTTCTTCTATTAATACGGTTAATTTTCAGATGTTGAACCAACATTGCATCCCTGGAATAAATCCTACTTGGTCATGGTATTTAATCCTTTTTGATATAATGCTGGATTTGGCTTCCTAGTGTTTTGTTGGGGATTTTTGCATCTATATTCATAAGGGATATTGGTCTATAGTTCTTTCTTCTTGTGATATCTTTGCCTCATTTAGGTATCAGGATAATACTTTCCTCATAGTTGGGGAGTGTTCCCCTATTTTTTGGAAGAGTTTGTGAAAGAGTAATGTTAATACTTTTTAAAATGTTTGGTAGGATTTATCAGTGAATCCATTTAGTCCTGGGCTTTTCTTTGTGGAATGTTTTTTTATTCCTATTTTAATCTCTTGTTGTAAGTCTATTCAGATTTTCTATTTTTTCTTAAATCAGTTATGATAGTATGTGCCTTTCTATGAATTTGTCTATTTCACATAGGTTATCTAATTTTTTGGCATACAATTGTATATAGTGTTCCCTTGCACTCCTTTTAATTTTTGTGAAGTCAGTAGTAATGACCCTTCTTTCATTCTTGATTTTAGTAATTTGAATCTTCTTATTCTAATTTATTTTTAATTCCCAAGTTTACATATTCAATATACTCTTGTAAAAATACAAATATGCAGATAAAACTTGGGTCTTGGTTGGCACCCACAACCCCAAACCCTCCACAGAGGTAACCCCATTATCAGTTTGGTGTAGCATAGTTACATGCAGCATAATTACATAGTTAAGCTAGTGTATTAGTTTTTTATTGCTGCATAACAAATTACCATAAATTTAGTAGCAGCCCTAAACAACACCAATTAATTATGTCACATTTTCTATGAGTCAGAAGTCCAGACACAGTTTAGCTGGGTCTCAGCTCAGGGTCTCACCAAGTTGATCTTAAGGTATTTGTGGGGGCTGTTGTCCTCATCTGAAACTCTGTGTTTTTTTTCCAAGCTCAGTGGTTGTTGGCAGAATTCAGTTCCTTACAGTTGCAGGACTAAGGTCCCTGCTGTCTTGCTGGCTGTCAACCAGGAGACTTTTTCAGCTTCTAGAGCCTACCTGCCGTTCTCTGCCACAAGGAGTTTACTCCTTCAAATCCAACAGGAGAGAACTTCTTTGGCTTCAAATCTTCCCAGCTTCTGTCACTGCCCTCTAGACCCAGATTGGAAGAGTTAGAGTTATTGAGTCAGGCCCACCCAGGGTCAATCTCCCTTTTGATGAACTCACAGTGAACTGATTAGGAACCTTAATTACATTTTTGCTATATAACATAACCTCATTGAAGGAATGATACCGTACCATATTCATAAGATCTGCTCTTATAAAACGTGTAGGGCACGTACACGATGGGATAGAAATCTTTGGATCCATCTTAGAATTTGGCCTCCCAGAACTGGCCGTAAAAACTGTCTAAATAAGCAATAGAATTCATTGAGAAGGCCTTTTATAACCAATACAAATTGTTGGAAAATGTGAGACGCTCATGGTTGGCCATTAGTAATAATCTTGGTTCCATGGCAGAAACATCTTTCAATGGGGCACCTGGGTGGCTCAGCTAGTTAAGCGTTCAACTCGATTTTAGCTCAGGTCATGATATCACTATTGTGAGATTGAGCCCCACGTCAGGCTCCACATTGTAAGTGCAGAACTTGCTTGGATTCTCTCTCTACCTCTCTCTCTGCCTCTCCCCTGTTCTCTCTTTTTCTCTCTTAAAAATAAATAAATGGGCGCCTGGGTGGCTCAGTCAGTTAAGCGTCCAACTCTTGGTTTTGGCTCAGGTCATGATCTCATGGTTCATGAGTTCGAGCCCTGCATGAGGCTCTTTGCTGTCAGCACAGAGCCCGCTTCAGATCCTCTGTCCCCCTTCCTCTCTGCCCCTCCCCTGCTTGGGCTGTCTCTCAACTTGCCATATTATCTTTTGTTTAGGCCTTCAGAGCAAACTTTGCCCAACATCTATCAATCTGCCTTTCCCTTCTGACTTCCTTAGGTCAAGGGTTGGCTTCTCTCCCCATCCATGACTGTAAAGTTTAAAGCCCCATTAAATTGGCCTCCTTCTCTGCTTCTTGTGTAGACTTGGGCACACTGAAGCAGAAATAATATTTTGTGGATTGAGTAACCAGGTGATCACCCCTATTCAGTAGGTCTAACCTCTGGGCCCCAAGTCTTCAGGGGCGGAGCTTAGTGTGTAGAGCTGTAGGTCACCATTAGGAGGAGCTCTCCCCAGGCCCCGGTTCCGCTTCCTTTGTGTCTCCGGACCGCTCTCTCTCGAAGTCATCTCTATGGTTTCCGTTGTAGTTTATCCGGAATAGGCGGAGCTTCCGGTTCCGGTGGGGCAGTCTGTAGCGAAGGAGATGGCGGCGACAGCAGCGGAGGCCGTGGCCTCGGGCTCTGGAGAACCTCGGGAAGAACCTGAAGCCCCCGGTCCAGCCTGGGATGAGTCCCAACTGCGCAATTATAGCTTCCCGACCCGGCCCATCCCGCGTCTGAGTCAGAGCGACCCCCGGGCGGAGGAACTTATCGAGAATGAGGTAGGGGGCGGGGCCCCGCCCGAAGGGGGAGGGGGAAGGGACCAGGTTGAGAAGAGAGGTCAAAGGTGAATGGTGATGGATGTGGGGGACTGGCTGGGCTGTCGCCTAGAACCTAAGGGAAGATGGAGAGGGAGGCGAGGAAACATGGGCCTTAAGGGGTTCGCGCTTGTTCACAGTAGAAATTATTTTGAAGTGGGAAAGTTTTTGGAGTCATGAGACAACAATGCACCAAATCCTTGGGATGACTTCATTTGTTTTTTTCACTTGGTTTTTCCACTTAGGAGCCTGTGGTGCTGACAGACACAAATCTTGTGTATCCTGCTCTGAAATGGGACCTTGAATATCTGCAGGAGAACATTGGCAACGGAGACTTCTCTGTGTACAGTGCCAGCACCCACAAGTTTTTGTACTACGATGAGAAGAAGATGGCTAATTTCCAGAACTTTAAGCCCAAGTCCAACAGGGAGGAAATGAAATTTCATGAGTTTGTTGAGAAACTGCAGGATATACAGCAGCAAGGAGGGGAAGAGAGGTAAGTTCCCAGATCATGATTTCCCACTGAATCTGGGGCATCCATTTTCCTTTCTTGTAGCTGCTTGAGCATATAGAGGAGTTGGATGAGTTCTCTAGCTTGAGAGATGAGAGAATTTATTAGATTTGAATCGGAACTCTGAAGTTCTTCGTCGTCTTTACAAGTGGGAGAGTTGCCTGGAAGGGTCAGATAGGTGAACAAAGCGAGTGAAATTGTTTAGATGAAAACTACAGTGAAGTTGAATGCATATGCCCTGTTCATAGTGAGAAGTCATTACTTGACTCTTGTTTCTATTTGGGAGTGCAGTTTCAGGGTTTGCCAGATACTCTCATTTTTCAAGAAAAGCCAGAAATCAAGATTTTTACTTAAATGTTTGTTTTTTTTGTTTTTTGGTTTTTTTTTTGACTTTTAAATGTGGGCAACTAATTCACATTTTTGTTTTTTGTATATGTTTTTATATTAAATTTTTTTTATTAAGTTTATTTTTGGAGAGAGAGAAAGAGCGTGTGTGCACACATGCTGGGGATGGCCAGAAAGAGAGTGAGAGAATCCCAAGCAGGCTCCGTGCTGTCAGTGCAGAGCCCAGCCACAGGCTCATCACAGGAGTTTCGTGAGATCATGACCTGAGCCAAAACCAAGAGTCAGGTGCTTATAACTGACTGAGCCACCTAGGTGCCCCTAATTCAAATTATTAAAAATGCTCTTCTGGGGGGGGGGGGGGGGAGGGGAGGGGGTTGGGCAAGCAAAACAACCAGTTTAGCCCTGGGATTGCCAGTTGTATTCTGTGTCCTAAAATATTGGGCTGGCTGGGACTGTTGAAACTGGACGTTTATAGATTTTCATGATTCTGGGTGAAGGATATCCAGGATCCATAGATTAGGGAAGATCAGATTCAATGGGGAGGTTGATACAGATTTTCATATTGTAGAATGGCAAACACAAGACACACAGAAATTCTTTCTCCTCTTATTCTAATATCGAAGACGGTCTCTGAGGTAGGTCCCAGACAGGGTAGTTCCATGCTATAACATTGTTTCTAGGAATTGTTTGTCACTGAGTATGTCATGGTGAATGATATCTCTATTCGCAGTAATCCAGCTCTGGGTTCCTCTTTGAGTCTCCTGCCTCAGTTCTTTCCTCTTTGTTAGCAGCATATGGCTGAGTGAATGGATTCTTTTTTTTTTTTTTTTTTTTTTTGGCTTCCTGTTTCGTTATCTTAATGATAGAACTTTGGCAAAAGAGTTTCCAAAGATCTCAACCATGATTGATCTGTTCTTTATGTCTTACAAAGGCTGCTGTACCTGAATCATCTTGTACATTAGTTTCTTCAGATTTAACATAAGCGTGTACATGTGTGCATACATCCACATACCCCATGGATTTGGAGAGCGTTTAAGTGGTGCTGGAGTGTAATTCCACTAAATGAACATTTGGAGGAGCTTGAGTGAACACATGTGCACACACATGCTGGGAGGGGCAGAGAGAGGTGAGAATCCCAAGCAGGCTCCTTTTGCTCTCAGTGCAGAGCCTTGGCAGGCTCTGGGAGGAACCGTGAGATGTGACCTGAGCTGGAAACCAAGAGTCCGGGTGCCCTGTGACTGAGCCTACCCCAGGTGCCCCCTAATTCAAATTTTAAAATTAGACAGTTTCTTACTTCCCTTAGAGAGGCAGTTTGCCTAAACCTGGAGTGTAGTCTGTAGCACATGGGTGATTCAAGGAAAATTTCTTTCTTTATTGCAGTTCCCACACCAATGACTTTATCACCAGTCAACTCCCATTCGTGTAATTGTACGGGTTGTTAAGGTTCAGGAATTCTAGAGATTCCTCTTTGAAGCTCTTTGACCATTTCAGCTATAATAGGAATTGCTTGGATTCTTTTATTTGGTGAGTGTTCTCTCCAAAAGTTGCCTTGTTCATGAATATATATTTTATAATCTCTGAAGTCACAGAAGAGTTACATTCAGTCTTGAGGGGTTCACTTATCCCCAAAGATCCACTGTGTTTACAACTTGTCAAGATTTCCTAGTTAATATTGTCTTAAACATCCCACTGGTTCTAGGCACTGAGAAACTTTTAAGCCTTTTTTTTTAAGTTAATTTATTTATTTTGAGACAAGAGACAGAGAGTGGCAGGAGGGGCAGTGAGAGAGGAGGAGAATCCTAAGCAGCACAGGAGCCGACATATGGCTGTGTCCTGAAGCCAAAACCGAGTTGGGCGGCAATCCACTAGAGCCAGGCTGCGCCCAATGTGCCTTTACAGATGTGGTCTGGAACTAGGATGGGAGACTTTGCATTTTGTCTTCATGTTGCTATTAATATTTCTTGTGGGCTTGATCATGTGTGTCTGGTTTTATTATCCATAAGTAATTTCTGATCTTCCACAGTGTGACAAGGAGCCCTGGAGAAAAAACCTGATGAGGCCTTCAGCTGTGAGAGCTACTACAGAAGAAGATAGCTCAGGTAATTGAATAAACTAAGGTTCAGAGCCAGAGTCAATGACTTGAAACAACAAAGGTTTATTTAACTTTATAACAACA